ATTGTCTATACAACATTGTGTCTGCATTCAATAATACTGTATTATACACTTAATAATTATGTGAAAATGGTAGTTCTTGATTTAAGTGCCCTTGTCACCATAAAAATAAATAAATTATTTAGTTGGTTAAGAGCATTATAACAAGTAAACAAAACACTAAAATTTGTTTCAATAATAAGTTCAGGTAAAATATAATTTGTTTATCAATTAGCAAAATAATATCTTTTAAAATGTTACTCATGACATTAGATCATATCAGGAGATATTCTGGGGCTATGTTCATATGCATCTCATGGTAGGTTCAATACGAGAATTTGGTAAGTTAATTGAAAAAAAAATGATAAAAATTATTTCAACTTTTTATTGAAATATAACATACATTAAAATGTATAAATTATAAATTTATACTTCAGTAAATTTCCATAAAGACTACTCCATATAGACAGCATATTATCAGTATCACACCAGGCCCCTGTAGCCCCTGCTTCTAGGCACTAGCTTTCCCATTCCAGTAAGAGTGATCACTATCCTGATTTCTAGCACCAAAACCCTTTTGCCTGTATTTGCAACTGATGTAAATGAAATCATCCTTTTGTGCCTGGCAATCTTAGGTCTGAGAGGTTCATTAATATTTTTAAATGTAGTAATGGTGATCCATTTATTCTCACAGCTGAGTAGTATTAGAGTTGTGCAAATATATTATGATTTAATCATTGTTTCTTCTTTTGGTAGGCAGTTGGGCATTTTTCAGGTTTGTCTATTACCAATAACATTGACATGAACCTTCTGGAACAGTCTTTTAATAAAAACTTGAATGGAATTCTACTTTCCATTTATCTAAGAATAGAATTTCTGAAAAATGGGCTTTTTGTGTTTGTTTGTTTGTTTTTGGTACTGGGGATTGAACTCAGGGGCACTCAACCACTGAGCCACATGCCCAGCCCTATTTTGTATTTTATTTAAAGACAGTGTCTCACTGAGTTGTTTAGCACCTCACCATTGCCAAGGCTGGCTTCGAACTAGCAGTCCTCCTGTCTCAGCCCCCCAAGCTGCTGGGATTACTTGGGTGCACCCACTGTCCATTGGACTGTGTAGTTTTTCAGTTTCATAAAATTCTTTGAAAGAGTTTTTCATAGCTAATTACCAATGCACAATCAGACAAGCAGTTATTGAGGGCTCCAGTTGCTCCACATTCTTGCCAACACTAGATACCGTTTCTCTGTTTATTTTAGCAATTATTGTAGATGTAAAGTGGTTTGAATTGCAATTTTCATTTTTCTTGCTGATCAGATTAAGTTCCTTTTCACGTCTATTGAACATCTGAAAAAGAAGTCCTTTTGTCAAGTGACTTTTGCTGTCTTTTGTTTATTTTTCTATCGGAATTTGTGTTTCAACTTACTAATTTGTAGCAACTCTTTACATATTCTGGATTCAATCTGGAGTGAATTTTATATTTCTAAATCACTTGTGTAAGATAATATAGCTTCATTACATGATGGGTTAATAACAAAAAAATGAAATATTCGAAATTTACTGGACAAATATTTATCAAGCATTTACTTCTTGCCAGACACTGTGCTAGGCTATATGGAAGTAACATGTAACCTTTGCCTCAACAAATTATAGTTAGTAGATTATAACTATAAAGGTTCAGGTAGAATAAATTTTCTTGTTGCATCTTTCCTTCATCTCAACACCCAAGCTCAATAATTTTAGAGGCCTTCTACTTCTAAAGATCTGAAAGCCAGGCCAAAAATTAAGGAATATTCTTGAACCAAATCCAATAGTTCGTACAGCTATGAATTAAGCGAATCCAATTATAGACAAGCCTTGTTATTAAATGTTGTGCTTTGGCCTGGTGCCCTAGTGCTCTGGCTATTTTACAGACTCTGGTCAATGAGATAGATCAAGACAGAAGCAGGAGTTTGTGTGATCAAACTCATTAATAGGTACAAAGGATACTGAGAGGGCAGAGCATGAAGTAGAAATGTGGCTAATAATCCAAAAAGCAACAGTATACTCCTCAAAGACTTAGGGAAAGAGGCCAGAAGGAACTTTCCATCTGGAACCTGGGCTGGCCACAAGACAGAACCACAGTACTTTCCTTTCCGGGAGGTCCTGTTGCCTTCTAAACCAGGTAGCTCTGGCCTCTCTGCTTAGCATTTCTATCAAATTTCACTACCCTTTACTAGTCTGTCTCAGCTCATTTGACAACCAGTACACCTGACAATTAAATTCCATCCATCTCTTTTCATTGACTAGAATCCAAGATCAAAAACATCTTTGGTATTTGAAAGGATATACTAATATTCTTTAGAGTTTAGATCTTCTTGTTGGTATAATGAGAACTCCCCAGCAGTCCCAGAAATGTGCTAAAATTAAAATTTACTTACATATGCTTAAGTTAACATATGTATTACTAGATAAGCAGAGCAATGCTAGATTAAACTCATTTCTTCATGTAAGAAGCCATAAGTTTATAATATAATCATTTCTGGATCATTAGCAATTTCATACTGAATCATTTAAAAATATTTTTAAATTTTTTTTCTGAATATGAAAGCTTCATCTAGGAAAAGTTGGAAAATAAAAGTATAGAAAAGTATAAAACAAAATCACCCATAATTCTACCTGCTTTAGTCCCTTAATATTCTAGCATAATTTCTAGCCAGCTTTTAAAATAATTTCATATATACAAATAATAATAAATAATCCAAATAATAATTTTCCAATTATTTTAAATTCAGAGCATCATCATTTTTTCAGTGTGTAAAAAACTGTTAGTGATTCTAACTTCTAAAGTTTATGTGATATACCATGGAAAGGATGCAACATAATTTATTTATTCCTTGCATTAGGCATCAGAATTTTTCTAAATTCCTTCATTACAATAAAAATAGTGTTGAAATAAAGACTTTTGTGCAACAAAAGCTATTTTTTAATTTTGCATTTTCCCTACATATATCCATAGAACTAAAATGTGATAGGAACACTTTTAAAGACATATACATTTTCAAACTACTTTCTAGCAAAGTGTCTTTCAATTTTACATAAATGTCTGTTTTACTTCACCCTCATAAGCACTGAGCACACCTATTATATACATTTCATTCATTGTTGGTAGATAAAAATATTGTTTTTAGTTTTTAAAAACATTCTTTAGTTTTTCTAAAAGCAGTGTGCTTTTCAATTATTTATTAGGCATGTGAATTTCATTATTTAATTTAGATTTTCATTTATTCAGATGTTTACTAAACATCTACAAGTACCAGGCAGTATTCCAGATGCAAGAGAATTATCAGTGAACAAGGTGGAGAAATTCCCTTTTTTATGAAGTTACAGAGGAGGAATAATCTATAAATAAGTTACCCTGTGATATCAGAGTGTAATAAATACAAAAAAAAGGCAAATAAAGAAGGTAAAGAATCAAAGAATGAACAGTGTTCTATTTTAGACAGGTAGTTAAGGAAGACCTTTCTCTAATAAAATAATACTTAAGGAGAAATTATTGTGGATTTTCTGTTCCTCAGTCAGTTCATTTATAGTAGTCTCTTAAACTGTGATTCAAAAAAAAAAAAAAAAGGTAATCAATGTTTACAGAATTTGCTACTGTTTTAATCAGTTTTTTCATTACTGTGACCAAAAGATCTGACAAGAACAATCTTAGAGGAGAAAGTTTATTTGGCACTCCTGGTTTCACAGGTCTCAGACTACAGATGCAACTCCATTTCTCTGTGCCAGAGAGTAAGGCAGAATATGAAGGCAGAAAAGTGTGATGGAGGAAAGCAGCTCAGGACATGGCAATCAGGAGGCAGAGTGAAGAAGCTCAGGTCACCAGGGCCAAAATATAAACCCCAAAAGCACACCTGCAATGATGCATCTTCTTCTCCAGCCACATCCTACCTGTTTTCAGTCACCATCCAGTTAATCCATTCAACTTGATTAATGCACTGATTAGGATAAACTCATAACCCAATAGTTTAACCTCTAACCTTTCTTGCATTGTCTCACAAATAAGCTTTTGAGGGACATCTCATATCTAAACCATAGCAAGTAATAAGAACATCTTGCAAAGCAAAATAAGCCAATCCCAAAAGAACAAAGGCTATATAGAGTTACCTTAGATTAGGAAGAGGGGAGTGAAGGGAGGGGAGCAGATATGGGGACAGGAAGGATAGTAGAATGAAACAGACATTATTACCTTATGTTCATATATGACTGCATGACTGATGTGATTCTACAACATGTACAATCAGAAAAATGAGAAATGATACCCCATCTATGTGGGAGGCCATCCTCGCACGTGATTCGAGTTACCTCCTTGGCTGGGCGAGAGGCGCTTAGACACATCTTTGTGTCCAGAGCTTTCCCCACCCTTCTCAGGTCCTAGGGCTTGTCCGTGTGAAGGCGTATCTGGCCACTACCCCTGAAGACCCAATCATAGCACCTGACCTTGGGACACTGCCCCCCTTAATCTTCATTGGATGGGATTTTCCCCAGAATTTTTTGTTCCCCAATAAAAGTCCACTCCCTGGAGTGTTCTCTCGCGCGCGCTGGCCTCTTCAGTAAACCTCACTACTCAAATAGGTACCTTGAGGCTCGGGGTACGAGAAGCAGTCCTGGAGCTGGTTTAAAGGTAATTAGAGCCTGTCTCTTTAATTCAAACTCCTTTTGGATTTCTCACATAGCTGAACCTTCATTTATGAAGCCTGTGCTGGCCACAGGCTAAACAACTATATATGTCAAGTGCAAAATGTATTCTACTATAATATATAACTAATTAAAACAAAAAAAATATAAAACAATGTAAATTCTTAAATTTCCTAGAATTTATTTCTTTCCTTTCTAGAGAGCATGATGAGCTTAAACACCATTTCTTCAAACCTGTTTTATTGCCCCCAATACAGTTAGCTTTTTCCACTAAACAACAATGTGGTATATTTCAAATATGAAGACAAAATTGACCACCATTCCTTCTCTCTCTTTTGTTTTTATTGTTGTTGTATGTTTGTTTGTTTTGTTTCACTAGTATGGATGGTTTGCTTGTGGTGGAGCAACCAGATAATTTTAGTGAGTCTACTTTGCTATTTACACAACTATGAAACAACTAACTTGTTTTACTGAGTTAGTCTTGACTACAAAACTCAGGTTTCTACTAAATATATAAAAACCAAATGCTTTACATTATCTTACAGAAATGAAGGTGCTAAATAATAACACAAATTCATAAGGTTCTTGTGAGGATTACTTGAGTTAATTACATGCTTAACTTGGTGCCCAATACATATTAAATACTGAATAAATGTGTCAATTTTTCATCATTAACTTAATCAGCACAATATACAGTATACAAACCTGATTCTCACCTTCCTTTTGCATTGGTTTCTTAGAAACCAAGAAATGTCAGGAGAATTTATGATATTGGCTCTTGTTTAAAATTATAGCAGTGCATAAATCTAGTTTCTTTTCAAGTTTCTTTTTGAAAATGAGCATCATTCTAAATGTTAAGGATTTACATAAAATTTAGTCATTTCTCTATTTTGTAGTCCTCTGAAAACTCATACAAATTTGCTGACAATCTAGAATTAATCAAATGCAGAGCTCTGTAAATTGCAGGGATTTTTTTAAACTATTTCACACAAAAATACTAATAAAAAGTATAAACATATTGGGAAAAGTGAAAAAACACATTTTAGCTGGATCAGAGTAGGGAGAAATACAAATAATTCATCCATACATGCATTCGTTCATTCATTCATTCAAGTATTTTGTGAGTTGCTTTTCTCATTAATCCTTCATTTCTAATCTACCAAATCTCTTTATCTTTTAAAAATTCCTTTGATTTGAAAAGCAAATTTCCATATCTACTCTTTCCTTACTACCATCACTATCATGGCTCTAAAGATTCTTACTTTCAAGATAGAACATAGATTACCAGAAATATTTCTTGGGTTTCTTCCTACTCTTCCCTGTCTTCCTTTCCATATGTCTTACCCTTTGCTTGAAATGTATATATTGGCAAATTAAAGTTTAAAGTCACTGTCTTTTAAAAGACTGATTTGAAATTTTCCTATGTCATTTGTAAAGTTCTAAGAAAACATCTTAAATCTATGAGTGAGTCAATAAAAACAATTTGAAAGACAGCGTGGGTAACATCAGTGATCAAAATTCATCATGATGTGCTTGGCACAAAAGACTTTCTTAATGAATTATCCATTAAGATGTCAGGCAAATTAATTAGCATGGACTTTTTAAAAAAGAAAGTTGAAGAGAAGGAAATAGTTAAGTACCCTGGATGCTAAAGGAAATCAATTAGCACTCGGAGGAGGCCTGCTGTAACTGTCATGGCTTCTTTCTACTCTCTGGACCAGAATAAACCTGTTATTTTGTTTTCCTGACTTTATATACATTAAATACTCTCTGAGAAAGTGGAGTATAGGAGTTGACTTCAGAGTCATTTTGGCTTTTGAATCCTAAATGGGAATTTTATATTAATATCTAATTTTGCAACATCACATGTCATTAATTTTATCAACTCCCCATTTTTAGTCCCCCCACCGAGGAATTACAAAGGAAAATGAGAATCTGGTCACTGATAGTTTGAACCCTATGAAAGAAGGGTATCTTTTATTGTTTACTTTCATTGTTGAACGTGAATCACTTGACTTGAAGCTATTTTCCCACTCTTCAAGTGCCCCACCTAATGGCAAGAGATGTGAATAGCAGCCATTTTGGGATCTCAAGATAGACAAAAATAATTGTCTATATCTGTGCAAACTTATAGCCCTATGATTGAAAGATGAATATTTTTTTCTCTCTGCTTTACAGTACTACACTATATTCCCCATCAACTGGCAACAGATACCTCAGAACAAAGCAATCACATAAAGCAGAGAGTCCATAATCCCACTCTAGCTGGTAAAAAGAACCTGTATTCAAATGCCATCTGTGAGCACCATGAATTCAGGCACTGTTAAATCTCTTTTCTTTTCAATTTGCCTCTAGTGACAATCTATTGTCTGTTCTTAGAGATGGAAAATTGTGATAATGTTTAAGGAAGATAACAGATGAAAAGGCTTAGCATATTCTTATTCTAGATGGTCACAAAAATCATCTACCCTCCAGTACCCCTGTTTTACAGGGGAATAAACAGAGGTGCAATAAGGAAAGTGATTTTCCATGAATCTCATATATTTGTAGTGGCAGATGAAAGGGCTTATTCTCCAGACTGCTGCCTCAACCACCACCGGAAAACTACCCATCAACCATTTTCTGACAATCACATCCTTTCAGTCTTCTACTCTCAACAAGTAAAATGTTATATCATGGCTCTAATAAATTAGGAGGGAAAAGTGAAGGGGCATTTTTTAAAAGTTAGAGCCTAGAGTTAGGTCATGTGCAAAATTAGGATATATCCCCAACAAAATTAAGTGCGTTATTATATATTATAAAAGAAAGAGCAAAATAGATTTGCCTAGTATGACTCATACATTGCAGATCAGTATAGTCAGTAAAATTGATAATCCTTTCCAGAGCTCAAGGTTTGGTGTCCATAACTGAAATTCATCATGCTCCTTTGAAATGTTTTCCATTGTCCTTCCATATCAACTTAGAGTTGGCCTTTGTGTCTTGTCAGCTGAATTTCATCAGATTCAATTATATCTCTGAGGACCTATTTAAAACCCTTTGTTCAGCTGGCTTTTCTTTGAGCCATTTGCTTTGCTGTTATGTAATTTGAGTTGCTCATGGTTGTTTGTGTGTGTGTGTGTGTGTGTGTGTGTGTGCGCGCGCGCGCGCGCGGCACGCTCCTCTCTTATCTTGGTAGTAATGTTTTAGCTACAGAATACCTGTCCCAAATTTAACTCCCACATACATGATACCTCCTAACATACAGATTTAGGATCTAAAAAACAGTGTTAAGAGTGTGGTCCTCCAACCAACTACATCAGAATCACCTGGGCCACTGGTTTAAATGTGGTGGTTTCTGACCCTTAGCCAGTCATCTTAAATTAAAATCTCTTGGGGTAAACTTCAAGAATATGCATTTAAAGCAGTTATTCTTGATGATTTCAATGCCCATTAAATTAAGACTCATTGCCAAGAAGATTCTTTAAAAAAAATGCCACCCAATCACCATGGACAAAGTAAAAAATTAATTTTGTGTTTACCACAGGAAGCCCAGCAGTTGGTACCCTTTTCACCTGGTACTTGAGATTGAGTCTCAGAACTCCTTAAATTAATGAGAACCTTCAGTGGCAGGATTTTAAATGTTTTGTTCCTACTCCCTGTCCTGAGAACAAATTACACAGCAACACAGATGGTTTTCAGTTATCTGTTTTTTCAAACAATCTAAGTAAATTGAAAAACACAATGTGTTATTATCAAATAACAGCTGCACCCAAACCTACTAAACTAAAATTCAAGGTCACTTTGAAAGAAGAAAAAAAGAGGTATATAGGTCTCTCTTCTTAATTGAAAGCCTGGACTAAATCCTGGAATGATTATATTATTTCAAACATTGCTTTGGTCAGTTATTAAAAACTTAAGTGTTTTTCTTATCTTCCTCCTCATTACTATTTTCTCTCCATTCCTTCCATTTTGAGCTCTCTATTTTTGATCACTTATTACTCTGTATCTTTACCTCTTGAGAAATTTCTTGATCCCATTCCTGTTTTCTCATTGGGTGAATTTAGCTCATGCCATTTGCCTCCTCTGAGCAGCTTGGTTTCCTGAGCAGTCTTTTCTGGCAGTCTTTGCTCTTTCTGGTAGGAAATATGGCTTTACATTTACCCAAGCTGAAAGGCACAGATAGGTCTAATTCTATAGACAGCAAAGATCAATACACAAAGAAGTGGTAATACCAGATTATATTCTGTTCTCTTCTGATGACTATAATAATTGTGCTCACCATTTCAGGGAAGCATGAGCCTTAGCTATGGCAGTGCTCTGGAAAGTCATTGACTGTGTAAAGATACCTCCTGATTGTGCCCTTACCAGATGTGCCAAAAGCTGAAACTTTTTTCTTCCAACCTTTAACAACCTTTTTGCCTATGCCTTGAGTTAAACAGGACAGGAGTAAGACTAGGGAAGTGCAAATGAACATAGAACACAAAACACAACCCGGCCCAGGGGAGCCCCATTGCCTCCCTGGAATTCTTGACAAACCTCAAAGAAGGAAAAGAAGCATCTAGCTGCAAGCATGGGGAAAGACAGATCTATCGGTTGGAAACTCTTTCCTAGAAATGAATGCATCATTTAATTAACCACAAAATGCCACAAATATGTCTTTAATACCCTTTATTTTCCAAATAGCAATTTAGTCATTCATTTGTTCCATTAATCTTCAATACTTTGTTTTCAAGGAAAATCATCATTTAATAGAAACAATTCTTCCCAAACTCTTAATATAAAGATGAATCAAGCAATGGATTCAAGAGTGCGCCAATAAATTTATTCCTAAATTACAAATGGTAATACTCAAAGTCAAATGAAGAGTAAAACTAAGGATGCAAGATAGTCAAAAGAAATATTTTATTTACAAATATCTAGAGACACTGTTTGTCACTTAAACCTGGAACTTTCCTGGAGGCTAGTGGAATCTGCATTATGTGCCAAACCCCCAAACCTAGTAAAATTTGAAAGTTAATTATTTTTCCTTTTCTCCTTCCATTCTATTTAAGCGATCAAAAAGTTTCTACTTCCATGAATAAAGATGGACCATCCAGTAAATATTGCAGCAACAAAAAGATATCACTTTGGAAAAATAGGAGATGAATGTCTATCACTCCTTAGACCTTAATTATAGGGTGACTTAAAAATGCTAAATGAAGACACAGACTGAAACTGTGCTCATAGAATGATGTAGTCACTGGGGAACTGACAGTCAAGGAAAATGTGACGGGAATCTTGTCCCACTTATATCATGCTAGGATTCCTAAGAAATTATAGGAGGACCTAAGTTGTTTGACAGAAGTCTGAGCTAAACCAACTCACTGACTGTCAGGAGGAGTCACTGCATGTTCCAAGGGTGCTCATCTCTGAAGGGTGTGCAATTAGACCAAGAGCTCTGGGACATAGATTTTCTTTATTTCAGACTGCAGAGCACCCTGGTTACATCAAGATCAACTGGAAAGATTGAAGTAAGGTGTGGACAAAGCCAAGGAGCAACTGAAAACTCAAAAAGAGCTAATCACCAATATTTATCAAAGTTAAAACCAAAACCCTATGAAGAAGAATGTTTTTCTGGTTGGAGGTTTGGAGCAGGGTTTTTTGGCATGGTAATTTTAAGACGAAGACTTTAATGACTCGGTTTTTCCAACTGCATCATTCCTGTGTTTCCCTGGAGGAAAAAAAGAAAAACTCATTGGCTCTTTGCTAAACTCCCTCCAGAATAGACCACTGCATGACCACATGTATGTGTATTTATGTTTGTACTTAGTTACTAATATTACTATACCTCCTGCAACATGATGATTCAAAAAAAGGAAAGAACACTCTCTTTTCTCAGTATGTTTTTATGATATGCTTGTAATTACTAAGAAATATGTCTTCTATCCCTCATCTGTAAGAAAATCTATTGGACTATGGATAAAATAGCTCACTATGGGGCATAATTCATCTTCTGAAACTGTTTCAAATGTTATCCTTTCAGTTTTGGTGCATTTGAAAGTAAATGGATTTGTTTGTCAAGCATGGGAGGAAAATGAAAAACCATAAGCATTAAAAAATTTCATGGCAGAAATTATCCATAATCTTGGAGCAAAAAACCCTTCCTAAGCAGAATACAAAAATGAAGAAAAAGATCAATTACATTTTTACAACACAGAATATGTACCTCTATCTCACTGGTAATTTTTAACAGTATCATAGTTTTATACAATATTTAGAAGTTCCCAAAATATCTTAAATTAATTAACTCATTTTTTTCCAAACTGAAGAATTTAATTACTGCCCTAATCCAACCCCTTCCCTTTCAAACTGCATAAGAAATTCTTTGCTGGGTTAGTTTCCTAATCTATTTACTTAATAAGATCCATTCATACTGCAGATTGAGAAAGGGAAAAGTTGAATCAAAACAAGAGATGAGGAAATGGGACAGTTTCTAACTCCATCTTATTTGAGATGAGGAAATGGAACATTTTCTAACTCCATCTTATTTGATTCATTTATTAGTTCACTGTCAGTTAACAATAATATATTTTTTTCAACAAGTCCTCTTTAGATCAGGTACAATCCTGTTGAGTGAGATATAAGCATAATAAGTTTCAATTCCAAATAAACTATTTTGATATCTCCCCTCTCCCTCTGTTCCTCTTCATTACTGAAGAAAAATTCTAAAGCAATTGAGAGAGTGCATTTTTAAGCAAGAATAAAATAGCTTATTCCATTAGCTTCCTTTCCTCTTGATTGTAGCACAATTTTACATCACTTAATTTTTCATGGAACTTCCACTTATTTTTAGTTTGCATTATCCTGTGTGAAAACCTAAGAGACTCAATTTTACATTGTTTTCATATAAAACTGCTCACGATTTTTGACTCTAACTCTGTTCCCACCCTCTTTTCTCCTGCAAATTTTACCTTATAAATTATACTGATCATGATTTTCCAAGTCTAATCTTGGGGCAGAGAGATCCATAAAAAGTTAAAAACTTTTAAAGAGAAATAATTCAGGTTATCTATGAGAAAAGGAAATCTAGCATATTATACAACCACTATGGGTAAGATGTTGCTATGTTGGACACTGTCATATTTAATCAATTTAATTCTTATAACAATCCTGTGAGGTAGTTATTATAATCTGTACTATTTTGCATGACTCCATTAAGGCTCAGCTTAGTGAAGTAATGACTAGCAATTGATATGCTGCCCTTTTAACACTGATCAACATAATTTCAAGTATGAACTGTGATTGGGAATAAAGGGGGAAAATGGAGGAAGAGTGAACAGACCTCAGAGTTTGGACTTAAAGTCTTCAGTTCAAATACCTTCTCTGTTATCTGATCAGAGTGTTTTCTTAAATGCAAAAAATAAAATGATAATAACATACCCTAATTTAAAAGGTCATTGCAAGTATCCAATAAAGTAACATTTGTGAAAATCACTTTGTAAACTGAAAAAGAACACATAAATTTTTGTAAATCAGTTATCATAATGAGATCTCCAGACAAATATACACACAAAGAACACTGGATAAGAGAATTACAGTGCTTCGAAAGAACATGGAGAGAAAAGAGATGAGATAGATGATATATAATAACATAATAGATGAAATAACAGAAGAGAACATCTCCTAAATTATAACAGTGTTTATGTAATTCTGAGAGTACATTTATCTCTGACTCTTCAGTTTTTTGTATTGATCAAGGAAGTAATAAAAGAAAACACTCTCGGGAGTTTAATTTTAAAGAGCAGAAAAAAACTAGGAAAGCATACGTAAAAACAGAAAGCCATGGAAGCTGGCAGAAAGTGCAATAACATAACTATGGAAATATTTCAAGTTTGGGGATTAAAATATGTATCTGTCAGCATATGTTAGGGTCATGATTGCTGAAGTAAGGAAACTATTTTCTATTAAAGTCATTATACTATAGTGATTCATTCATGTCCATGTGTATAACAGCACAATTTACAATAGCCCAACTATGGAACCAGCCCAGGTGGCCATCAACAGAGGAATGGATAAAAAAAAAAAAACTGTGGTGCATATATACAATGGAGTTGTATTAAGATAGGAGGAGGAGGAGGAGGAGGAGGAGGAGGAGGAGGAGGAGGAATAATTTTGTTATTTTCAAGAAAATGGATGGAACTTTAGAATAGTATGCTAAGTTAAATAAGCCAAACCCAGAAGGTTAAGGGTCATATGTTCTCTCTCATATGTAGAAGCTAGAGAGGAAAAAGGAAAATAAAGGTGGGGGCAGAGATCTCATAAAAATCAAGAGCGATAAGTAGAGTATAAGAAAGGGATGGGGGGGTTGGGGTTGTGGCTCAGCGGTAGAGCACTCGCCTTGCACGTGTGGAAACCCTGGGTTTGATCCTCAGCACCACATAAAAATAAATAAACAAAATGAAGATAATGTGCCTATATATAACTATATATATAGTTACATATAAAGGGATGGGGGACAGGAGGCAGAAGAGAGGAAAAGTGGAAATACTGAAGAATGATATTGCCAAATTATTTTGTTACATTGTGTGCATGTATGAATATGTAACAACAAAACCCATCTTACGTATAATTACATTGCACCAATAAAAAACATGGAAAAAATTATTTTTTATATTACAAAATCAGTCTACCTTCAGAAATTAAACTGCAGTGGAATTTGGAACTAAAGATAGCTCATCTGTACAAAATGTAATGGACTTTGTCATTTGTCAATGTGTACATCAGCTGGATAGAAAGATGAAGCAAAATAGTATACATGAATCAAACCTGGCAGCTTCTTTGTAAGGGTAAGGTAATAAACTATGCAAGGAATTGCAATTTTTTTTTAAGAGAGAAACACCATATCCCTTGGTAGATATAATTGATTCCTGAAATTATCTTGTGTAGAAAATGCACACAGAGGATTCCAAGGGCAGGCCAGAGGGAGGCAGCATCCTGTGTTGTTCCCTGACCCAGGTCTCACCTAGTCGGAATACTGCATCTCAGAAAGTGTAAGAGGACCCCTATACAGCTGATTTCCACAGAAACTCATACATTGGTGGTGAGACTGTAAACTGGTGCAGCCAATATGGAAAGCAGTATGGAGATTCCTTGGAAATCTGGGAATGGAACCACCATTTGACCCAGCTATCCCTTCTCCTCGGACGATACCCGAAGGACTTAAAAACAGCATACTATAGGGACACAACCACATCGATGTTTATAGCAGCACAATTCACAATAGCTAAACTGTGGAGCCAACCTAGATGCCCTTCAGTGGATGAATGGATAAAAAAAATATGGCATATATACCCAATGGAATTTTACTCAGGAACAAAAGAGAATAAAAATCATGGCATTTGCAGGTAAATGGATGGCACTGGAGAAGATAATGTTAAGTGAAGTTAGCCAATCCCCAAAAAACAAATGCTGAATGTTTCTCTGATAGAAGGAGGCTGACTCATAGTGGGATAGGGAGGGGGAACATGGGAGGAATAGATGAATTCTAGATAGGGCAGAGGGGTGAGAGAAAAAGGGAGGGGGCAGGGGATTAGTAAGGATGGTGGAATGTGATAGACATCATTATCCAAAGTACATGTATGAAGACACGAATTGGTGTCAACATACTTTATATACAAACAGAGAAATGAAAAATTGTGCTATATATGTGTAATAAGAATTGTAATACATTCCACTATCATTTTTTAAATCAATAAAAAGAGCATTGTAATAAAAAATTAAAGGAAAAATAAATGCAAATACAAAAGCTCTGGGGAAAAAAAAGAAAATGCACAGAGAGAAACATTCTTCACAGAGAAGGAATATTAAAGAAGACTGTTGTGAAGTTTTCAGAATTAGGCTTTTTATCCTTCTTTTCCCTGAAGGATGAAAACCCATCTAGTCACTTCAACACAGTCAAATCTGAATGTCCACTGAAGTAGCACATAGAGACAAAATGGAGATTGATCAAATTTAATTTTAAATTGAGTTTTAGTTTTTAAATTGAAAATTAATTTACATTGGATTATACAAAAAGGAATGAAGGAAAGGGATGGGGGATGGGAATGGGAAAGACAGCAGAATGAATCAGACATAACTTTCCTGTGTCCATATATGAATACATAACCAATATAACTCCCACATCATGTACAACCACAAGAATGGGAAGTTATATTCCATGCATGTATGTACATTCTGTCATATATAACTAAAAAGAACAAATAAAGATGCATAAAGAAGAAAAAATAATTTAAACGTATTATGCCGCAGTCCGGCTGCAGCAAAATAACCGGGGGTATTATAAAACTTAAATAAGCAAAATGCATTGATATGAAGTAGAAGGAAGGGTTAACTCATCCAAGGAGAGATTTGAATAAAAGCTCTTTTATTCCAAAACTCACATATGCTTTATAAATCTCTTTTCCATGAAGGATGAAAACCCATCTAGTCACTTTAACACAGTCAAATTTGAATGTCCCCCCTCTAATTAGATGAAGCATTTGAGAAAACATGTTCAAACGGTCATACAGACTAGATGGCCAATTACTTTGGTGAAATTGCTATTTGCATAGGAGCCTTCTTACAATCTATTTGAGATTATAAGTAGAAACTGAAAAAAAGTGTTATATGCTCACATCCAGATAGGAGGCTTAAAATTTATTTTTGATCAAAATGCATATATATGTAACTTTAAGGTTCTAAAATAGCATGACTATTCAGTTTCATTAGTAAAATCTACATAAAATTAAGGGGCTTTTCCTCATATTCTATGCTACTATTTCAAATGTGTATTTTAGAGGCATTTAGGTATAATTATCACCTCCTCTTTGTACCTGTTCATTCATCCACCAAATAAAGAAAATAATAGTACTAGCATCATAGAATAGTTTTTTAAAAAATTAAATAAAGAATGTATATACATAAAATGTTGGCATTTGATAGTCACTTAATAAAGTTTGATCACAAAACACTATCATAAAATTACTTTATTAAATGACTTAAAATATAATTGCCTGTGTTATGTACCCCCAATACATAAATATACCTATATTTACATATAGTCATACACAAAATACAGTAGTTCCCCTCTCCATATGTGGAACATTTCATAACCCCCATTGGATATGTTAAACCACAAATACTGCTAAACCCCATAAATATGTATTATCATATATGTATGTTCATATAATGAAGTTTGGTTATAAAATAGGTCTAGTAAGAGATTAATAATAACCAACAATAAAGTAGAATAATTATACTATATTAAAAGTTATGTGAATGTGATCTCTCAGTCTATCTCAAAATGCCTTATTTACTGTTCTCACCCTTCTTTTACTTGTGATATGTGAGATGAAACTATGGCTATATGATAAGGTGAAGGAGGTGAGTGCAGCAGGTGTTTTGAGGTTGCTTTAAGCTCCTGTATGAGGGTTCTGTGAAATCAAGTATTGCAAACCTCCACAATCAAACCGACAACAAAGATGAATGTTGGACTATATTACTAAAAGGTGGGTAGGAAATGGCAGCATGTATATGCTAGACAAAGGGATAATTCATGTGCAGGCAGGATGGATTAGGAGGACACAAGGATTTATAAGTTATTCAGAAAGGCACATAATTTAAAACTAAGAATTCTTTATTTCTGGATTTTCCATTTAATATTTTCAAACCAGGATTGACCTGGGCTGATTTATGGATGTAAATCATATATCCATTACAAATCACCGAAAGCTAAACCATGCATAAGAGAGGAATAATGAACTTGAATGCCCCAAAGATTCAGACTTTGGTGGACAAATAAAAATAAGCAAAGCCCACTCCTCAGATAACTATGAAACATTCAGACCCCTTTCCAGTATTTCTGGGGCACACCCAAAGGAAACATCCTGTCACATACCTGGTTAGATTTGTTACAGCTCCCCTGAGCCAATATTCCAATTCTACAACCATCACTGCTCTTCTCCCCTCTTCCCTGCTCCCTTCTCTTTGTCTAAAGCAAGACTTTCTTACTCCCTGTGGCAACATTGTGACAATACATCTGTAATTACAGAAAATTTAAGGAAAGGTTTGAAAAAAGGAAATAGAACAAACAACACCTTTAAAACTAGTCCTAAGACCTCATTATTTCTAATGTGGCTTTAGAGGAGCCCTCTCTGATATAGGGACAATTGGAAATCACTTGTAAGCTCTGCCTGCTGTGAAGGCTCCATCCCTGGAGAGGCTTTCGCTCCATAGCAGAGCCTCCACAGCCTCTCCCCAAAATCAATCTCTCTCTCTCTCTCTCTCTCTCTCTCTCTCTCTCTCTCTCTCTCTCTCTCTCACACACACACACACACACACACACACACACACACACACACAGTCAGGAGCAAAATGTTTTAAAATTCCTAATACCTCATTATGCAAATAGTCATTCTTTTTATTTATCCCCTCTTCCCAACAAACCTGGGTAGCCTCCACTCACAATTTAAAAGTCTCCCTTGACATACCATTTGTCTCTCTATGTAATGCAAACACATCTGGAGTTTACGATGCAATTGTTATCTAACTATAAATATATATGTATATATACATATATATGTATATGTGTGTGTGTATTTGACTCTAAATATGTTACAGTTTATTTTCAGTAGATGCATGGTATAATAGATATATCAGCATACCAGTGATGCCTATAGTCATATGAGTGAGGCTCCATGGTGTAATGACCTCAAGGAAATTTGAAATTAGGCAACCTGAAGTAGATATAGGCTTCTCTCATTACTAGTTGTATAATCTTGACTAACTCCCTTAACCTAACTAAGATGTATTTTGAGTTTCCCTGAAATGCAGATAAAAGTTATTCCTTTTAGTTTGAAGCCATCCCATTTTCTGATTCTTGATTTTACTTCTTGCACTTGTTAAGGAAGTCTTGTTAAGGAAGTCAGGTCCTAAGCCGACATGATGAAGACTTGGGAATACTTTTCCTTCTATTAGGCACAGGATCTCTGTTCTAGTGCCTAAGTATTTGATCCACTTTGAGTTAAATTTCTTGCAGGGTGAGAGATAGGGGT